GTTGCAATGTCTGTAACTCATTAACAATGACATTTCCTTCACAACTTGGTTGAATGGTTCTCAAATGTGGAGGATGGCCATGCACGAATCTCCCCCGAAAACTCTCATCAGGTTTTCCATCCTCTACCTTAGTTCTTCCACTATAACAGGCATTGGGCTCGCATTAGCAAGTTCAGTGCAGGGTTGAATCAGACTGGTAGACCCTCTTATTACAATCTCACACACATGAGAGTAGGATTCAGTGTGACACCTCTCTTAGGGTTCTTCTAGGGTGTCGCCTGATGAAAGTGGTGATATGAGTCGTCTTTGTACATTCACCTTAGGCGCTCTCGTTAGGTGACCCTTCCTCCTATTTGGTGTGGTTAGTAAAACTACTAGGATGCCTTCTCCTCCCAAGCTAAGGTTTGTATGAAGTGTCAGACATCATGTCGCCTAGGGGTGCATCCATGTCCACTACTGTAGTGTGCCTCGAGTGCTCAACTACCACCTCTCAAAGCATCATCACTTAGAATCCATGAGCCATGGAGTTCAAATTACGAGTAATTGCCACTTGCATCACACCAACCCCAACATTGAGGCCTATTTTCTCCTTATGATGAAGCCATTGGGTAATTTGAATTGTTCGATGTGAACGGAAACTCAAACATGGTGTGAAGTTTTTGTCATCTAACTGAGCAATCCCTACTAGATCGATGCAAGGAATTAATTATGGATTAATATAAATGAAAGCACTAATATTGTTCGTACTGAGCACTAAAAGGATACTCATAATCCTTTTGAGATGGTACATACGAACACTCCCGTAGGAATCAAAGTTTGAAGAATTAAGTAAAGCAATATCTAAGCAGAAAATTTAGTAGTGTTTTGGTATGTTGACAAAGGCACATGTTTAAGTCTTTGCATTTCAGTCTAACAAGTACACACTGACACCCCTTTAAAATTTCGAAATTGTTGTCTCTTTAGAGTTTTTTTTATCGTCAAAACAGATGAGTTAAATTAATATCACAATATTCAGATAGAGAGTAAAACGACAAAATGACTACAAGCAACCGTCAGCCCTCGAACCAGACTTAAAGTCAATCACCTCCAAAAAGCAATATAACTCGTTGATCCTATAATGAGCATAAATGAGTAAAGGACGGTTAAAGCAGAGCTCCCATCACCCAATCCTAATGCAAGATTCTTACAACAATAAAAGTAACCAACAGAAAAATAAATAGTCTGATCATGAAAAATAAAAAGCAAGCAATCAGTTAAATTAAAATACTGCTTCCAAACTCTAAACTCTCCTGCATTCCATGACGGCGGTTCAGGAGGGGGGCGGTCTAACAGTACTGTATCTTCTTCCACTCCTTGCCTCCGGTCCAGTTTTGTTCCAACCCCTAGCCCCACACTTCGTCCACGACCTTCTGATCTCAACCATGAATGACATCCTCGAAACTCTCCACCTGTTGCTAGGGGTACACAGCCTTTGATTGCTGACGTGCACTTTGTCGTGATATGCACTCAAAATAATATTCAATACAACAATGATACGTAGTATAATGAAGTAAGGTTCGTATCCACAGGGAAAGGAATACTTCTCTTTTTATGTAACTAGTAACAAAGGGGGTTTAAAGTTTGATTTGAAGAACTTTTAAGAATATTTAAACACAAAGATGAACGACTTATGTGGTTTAATTAATGAGAAGAAGACTTGGCTTTGCTTTTATCCACTTAATGAAATGTTCGTCGATCCCGGTTATATCTTTAATTATCTTCCTCTCGAATACTCAATCGAGGAGTATATCCAATTCATCAAGGGTAGTTATTAATAACGAGACGCGTTCATTAATAAAACTTACTACCGGGTTAATATAGAACACGCGCCGTATATTCACTCGATAGTAGCAATAAAATCAAGATGAAAACGATTGAGATTGAAAACCTCAACACAAGCGGTTTATTGGTTTAATCAATATAATTAATTCCCCTTGGTTTATTAACCATGAAACGCATGCATTAATAACCCAAGTTTACTACCGTGAAAGGACCGAATTAATAACAAGCGTATTAATCGACCGATTCTAGTAATAATTAATATATGAAACAAAACTAGTTGATCCTTTAAGTAATGATCAAAATATTAATATGAAATATGAATAGGAATTAATTAATACTCAAGGAAGAATATTAAAGAAGATGAATCCTACTATAGTTAATATCAAGATGTTAACTAATTGTCATCTTAGTAACACTCCCCAATATTAACATAGAGGGAGAAATAGCTATTACTATAACCAATGTCAAGATGTTAACTAATTGTCATCTTAGTAACATTCCCCAACATTGATATAGAAATAGTATTTAAAGGAAGAATTAATATTCAAGGAAGAAGATTAAAGAGAATAACTCACAACTTACAAATTCATTAAACTTCAAAGTAGCAAAACCAAGATGGAAGAGTTTAGCTCCTCATTTGGAGACTAAACATGATAAAAATATAAAGAAAGTACTTAACTAAACTGAGCTTAGAAGTGTATAGGAATTGGTGATCAAAATGGGAAGGAAAAGGGGTGTATTTATAGGTATTTTGAGGTGGCTGAGTTTGATACCTGACCGGGTATGTAGAATACCCGATCGGGTATCCTTAATTGCTCGGAAGGTGCTGAAATCACATTCAACCCGACCGGGTTGGATCAAAACCCGACCGGGTTACGTATCAAATCGGATATTTCCCACGTTCTCTTGATCTTGGACACGTTCTTTTGTTCTTGTCAACTCAACCCGACCGGGTTTTGGTGCGTAGCTTCCCTTTGGCTTCATTTGTCACTTCCAACCCGACCGGGTTATATTTCAACCCGACCGGGTTTGCTACCAGAATTTATTTCCACCATTCATCTTGCCTTCCTTTGGTGCCTATAATACTTCCTTGCATCCCTTATTGTACTTACAACAAAATACACACTAAAAATACAAATTAAAACCTACAAAATAAATCTAAAGAGTACATCACAAACTAAACTAAACAATTAAAAACAACAATCAAATAATAATAAAATAACAAACTTATGCACTAGGAAATAGTGCATGTCAATCGCCATATAGGCGTTGCGGTCTACCGAAGAAGAGAGTCTCACTAGGGGAGACAGTTGCCTATAGAGAGAAGCTCGTTAGATAGACACACACACTTAGTCTCTTTAGAGTTTTAGGAATTATAATACATAAAAACTAATCCATGTGGAGTCAACATAGGATGTTTTTACTTGGACTGTAATTTGTCCCAGACCAGATCAGACTAGACTAGACCAGACTAGACTTGGATAATTATAAAAATACAAAGAGATCAGACATTACCAGACCAGACCAGACCCGACCAGACCAGCAAATTACAGTCCAAGTAAAAACATCCATACTTGACTTTTTACATTTCGTCTAGCTAGTAAGGACTCATCATCCTTGAAATTTTAGAAACTGCAATCATCATAGAGTTTTTAATTATCATTTTAAAGACCTAAAATTTGCTAGAATCAATTGCCCTACAGTTAGATTATTTGATCATATATAATACCAGTACTTCAATTGCCATAGAATGTTTTGGCAAATAGATTTTTCATCCTGTTATTTAGAAAAGGAAAAGGGTCAAATAAGCCCTTCTACTAATTCCAATCCGTCCCTTAAGCCCCTATACTAAAAAAAGTATATATCATATAAGTACATATACTTTCAAAATACAATCAACCAAGCCCTTTGACATGCTATAGCAGGTTATTTTTCTTTAAAATTAAATTAGGAATATTGATAAATCTTACAAAATTCATATAAATTTGAATAAATAATCTAATATTAATTTTAACAATAGTATGAATGTATAAATAGATTTTTTTAAAAAACATTTAAGTAAAAAAATAAAAAAAATCATAAAACTGAAAAAATAAAGGTGAAAATAAAAAACTTAAAAATAAAAAATTAAAAATATTTCAAATAGATGTAGAATATACAAATATATTTAAAAATAAAAAATATTGACTTTGATATTCTGAAAATTTTCATAATTTTTTTTATATTTCTTCAAATTTTAACAATTTGTTTAGAGTTTTTAAATTTTAAAAACCTGCTAACATAAGTCAAACAATTATTAAATGGTCAAATTGATCCATTTTATGAAGTAGGCGTACCCATATGATACTTTTTTTAGTACAGGCACTTAAGAGACGGATTGAAAATAGTAGAATGGCTTATTTGACCCATTTTTCCTTTAGAAAAATCAGTATAGCAGGATGGAAGAAGCGTTGAAATTGATCGATGTGGTTGAAAATGGTAAGGAGATATACCGGTGTGTACAATTTGAGGTGAGAAACTTGGGATTCACCAGATGGAAAACTACACCACATAAAAAAAGTTGATAGCGGAAATAGAATAGATCGATAACGCTACATTCATACAACTATTCAAGGGCGGAGCCAGAGCAGTGGGCCAGACTGGGCCGGTACAAAGAATATTTTTGGGAAAAAATTTACACGGATTTTTTTACACTAAAAATACAGACATTTTTAAAATTTGGGCTGGGTCAGGGCCAGGGGTGGCCACCCCCTAGCTACGCCCCTGCAACTATTATTATTTTCTTTCAAAAATTGATTCATTCGAATACTACTATCTTCGTCCCACTAACATTAGCACATAATGAGGTGACACGAGAATGATTACACAAACTTTATCAATTTGATATAAGACAATGAGATGAAGCCAAAAAAAATGAAACAATTTTGAAGAAATTTCTAACTTATACTAGTACTACGTACATACTAATAATTAATACTCGGTAATTATACGAAGTATATCCTTGGTTGACGTTTGCTCGTAAATGTGTTGTGCTAATATATATAAAGGGATCCCTCACGTGTCCCTCAAAACTATTCAAAGTATGAGTGTTGATTTGCCCATCCTCTACGTACGTATATACCTGCCTTACCTGACGCACCAATTCATTGTATTTTATGCATGGAGTATACATTCATACATACATACATATTAAATGATACGGATCGATCGGAGTATTTCGATCCTTGATTACTTAAATTAACTGCGATCAAATAATTAAATATGGATTGCGGTGCTTCGAGTTCGACGGCGGCGGAGCCTTCGAGCAATGATTATATTGCTGCGGCGCCGACGCAGCCGCTCGCGGATCGAATCATCCGTGCCCTCCGTCACCCGCTCCGCCTCCTCCACCGCTCCGACGCGCTGTTCTTCGTGCTGGGGGCCACTGCCAACGTTTACACTGTCAACCTCGGCGGCGCCACCATACATTGCACATGCCCCGACCCTACTGCTCCTTGCAAACACATTCTCTTCGTCATGATCCGGGTCCGTACCTATTCGATTTCTCCCTCCCACCCTCATTATCCATTTCAAAAAGATATATAAAATGGTATGATCAAAAAACAAAAACAAAAAAAAAAGTAGATTCCATGGTCAAATAAACTTTTTTATTATTTTCCATTCATCACTTAAGTTTTTATATATTACCTCCGTCCCTTCAACATTGCCAAATTGATGTTAGGTGGGAAATTTGAATAGTAAAAACTGTTTGGTTGGAGTTTGTGCAGAGTAGAGAGAAATGAATAGAGCCATAAATTCATTACTTTTAAAGGAAAGTGACAAAGTTTTTTGGGACAAACAAAAAGGAAAAGTTGCCAAAGTCCAGTAGGACGGAGGGAGTACTAAAAAAGTACTACTTATTATATAAGGTAATTTTACTTTAAAAATTGATCAATTTGATCATTTAATCAGTTATTGATTAAAAATTGAAGAACTACAGATAAAAATTGTGAAAAATTTTAGAATATCAAAGTCAATGTTTTTGAATTTTCGGAATTTTTGCATTTTCTGCATCTTTTTAAAACGGTTTTGCATTATATTTTTTTATTTTACGTTTTCACTTTATTTTTTCAGTTTTGATTTTTTATTTTTATTTTACCAAATTTTAAATTATTTTCTATTTCCCATTTATACCATTTTTTATATTATTATTTTTCAAATTTATATGAATTTTTATGTAGAGTAGGATTTTCCAATAGTCCTTATTTATGATTTCAAAAATAACATGTTATAGCATATCAAAATTACTTGGAAAAGTAAGTATACTTATATGATGCTTTTTAGTTGAAGGAGTTAAGTGATATACTTCATATTAGAAATAGACAAAGGTCTTTTGATAGACAAAGGTCTGAAATAGTTGATATACTTCATATTAGAAATAGACAAAGGTCTTTTTGATAGACAAAGGTCTGAAATAGTTAAGATTATTTGGGATTATTCTGAAATAATCGATAGTTGAGATTATTATAAGCGGACCACCAATAGTTGAGATTATTACTATCAATTTTTCCTATTAGAAATAGACAAAGGTCTTTTTGATCTCTTAAACAAGTTACATTAGGTAGCTTCTACGAGTAAATCTATAGCTTTTAGCATATGTTAGTCACAACTAGTTGTTAAATCAAACATAATTAAATCAAACAAATAGTTTTTTATTAAATGGTAACAATAATTTTCTTTAAAAATCTTTTCAATCATGTTGTATCATCAAAACGACTTTTCATTAATATAGAGCAAACATGCAATACAAAATTCAAACATTTATTACAGATTTGATCATAAGCCCTAGGAATAGACTTAGAGTCAGCTACTCACACAAAAGGTACAAGAAGAAGCCTAAAATGATCGAAAATGAACTATCAAAAGTTCTTCAAAAATCAAAATACTCCAACCATACCTGCTCGAACTGAAATAAAAATATGTACTACGAAAGGAAAATTAAATAATATGAAAATAAAAAATTTCTCCAAATTGGTTCCTTGCACGGAGGTGGTTTCGGAGGAGGGCGAGTTGCTGCAGTATGGTAGAAGAGAATTTCATCCCTCGAAAAATTCGTCTGAAACTCTATCCTTCTTGTGCTTGCCAATTTGCTCTTGCCAATTTGCTCCTTGATATTTGCCATTGAAATCCATGTCCGAGGTGCAGAAGAAAACTCAATCATGTTACTTGTCTTTCTTTGCTCAAAAAATCCAAACCACACCCCACTGCCCTTATGTTTCACTCACGTTCCGAAACTTCAATCATGAAGCTATCATTCCACGAAAAACCCAGCCGCACGAACAAAACTCGATCGGCGGAACAAAAAACCCTAACAAGTGTAGGGAGACGACCGCTCCTCAAAAGAATCGATAGCGGAGAAGAAAACCCTAGTGATGGAAATCCACCCTAGAGAGAAAGTCTCAACCAATATCTTTTCAATCACTATAAGCTCAAAAAATATCTTTTCATCTAAGTATGCCAAACACATCCAATAATGAAATTGCAAAAAACGGGATTACGTGATTTAATTTCCCTAAATAGAATTAATAATATATTGTGTATGGAGAAAAATATCCATATATGTATTTAGTATTTAGGGTTAGGGTTTAGGGTGGTGGCTACCGTGGTCGTCTGGTGACCGAAAAGAGTGTGTTAGAAAAGAAATCTGAAATAAAGAATTTAAATTAATGGTAGATTCTATGGTATCCCAAATGTACCATACCTTTGTCCAAATGGACCAATAAGAATGATGCAGTTGAATTATTTAAATCTAAATTAAAAAACATATAATGATTTGGACCAATCAAATGCATAGTAGGTACGGTATCTCATTTTTTAAATGGGTACCGGAGTTGTCACCTTAATTAATATAGGGTAGCTATAAAAATTTATAATTGGAAAAAGAAATGACTCAATCAATTGATAACTCTTATTCAAGGAATAAATCGTGGGGAACTCCTATTTTGGAACTAACCTACTTTACTTTTATTTAGGACAATGTCTTTATTTATTCTGAAAAAGTTTTCCTCGTTTACATGCACTCCATACTTTTTTCCCATCAACTAACGTACATACACTAGCTAGCTCCATAATTACAAAGTTTTCATTTTTGAATTTTCCAGCGCACAAGTTTTGCGATTAATATAAGTACTACGTAATTCTTTATTAGTAAAACATACTCCATATAAAAATTCAGATTTTGTAAATTTAAAGTGAGAAGAATTAAATACGGAGTGTTAATTTTCAAATTTTGAATTTATACTTTTATAGTCCATATTACATTAAATTTATATATACTTCGTATTTTGATGAGTATAAGATATGTCAGGTGTAGAAACATGCCACATCAGGCTTTTGTCTAAACAGGATGGGCCTATTTTAGAAACTATAGACCTGAGTCTGGCATGCTACCTGTTTAAGGCCTGTTTTTTTTTTTTGCCCGAGTCTGGCATGTTACCTGTTTAAGGCTTGTTCTTTTGGCTTGAGCCTGGACTGGCCTGAAGCCTGTTTAGTACGCCTGTTAAGAAAAAATCAAAAATTAAAAAAAAATAAAAAATTGAAAGTGACTAATTATGTTAGCCTAATATAAAATTTAGCCCCGACATAATCACTAAAAAAATCTAATAATACGTTAGTTTTGCTTTGAATGCCTAATAATATGTTACTAATGTAGCTTATAAATTTTTATGTATTTCAAATCTTGAAAAGCTTTTGCTAATGGTTCATTTTCAAATACTCTCGTCGAGTCGTCGTTCCAAAAAATACTTTCAACTTTAATTTAGCACGATTATTAAGAAAGTGAAATAAAGTGAAAATGCATGATTATGTTTGAGTAAGAAAAAAGTAGATGAAAAATTATATAAGTAGAAGTAATCGCCATTCTCTCTCTAGGCGAGAGCTTCTCTCTCTAGGCGGCTGTCTCCCTTAGGGTTAGGGGTTGTTTTTCTTCGCTTTCGTCTTCGACGAAGTGCGGCTTTCTTGTGCAACTCTCGTCCGCCTTTCGTGAGGCTCTCTTCTTCGGCAGACCGCAACGCCTATATGGCGGCCAAAGGTTGTGTACCCCCTCCCCTAGCAGCAGGTGGAGAGTTTCGGGGATGTCGTTCATGGTTGAGATCAGAAGGTCATGGACGAAGCGTGGGGCTAGGGGCTGGAACAGATCTGGACCAGAGGCAAGGAGTGGAAGATGCTACAATACTATTGGACCGTCCCCCTCCTGGACCGCCGCCATGAACCGCCGCCATGGAGTGCAGGAGAGTTAGAGTTTGGAAGCGGTATATTAATTTTACTGTTTGGTTGCTATTTATTTTTCATGATCATACTATTTATTTTTCTGTTGATTACTTTTATTTTTGTAAGACTCTTGCATTAGGATTGGGTGATGAGATGTCTGTTTTAACCGTCGTTGGTTCATTTATGCCCATTATAGGATCAGTGAGTTTGATGGATGGTGTACCCGGGGGGTGTCTTATCCGAGGGGTTATTACGGAATAACCTAGAGAGAAGTCAGAGCGAGCAAGTAGGAGAGAGAGGAGATTATTATTTATGAACTCGAGATGTTCTGGTGTGGATCTGGGATCGTTTACAAGGAGAAATGAGCCGCTATTTATAGCAGCAATAAATGCGATGAAGGTACACGTGTCAACAATCTGACGGCCGAGGGGTCACCTCAATTGGGTGGCACTGACATTCGCATGTGCACCGCATTGAATGCGGTGGGTGGATGTGACATCGCATTAAATGCGGTGGTTGCTTGTCTCCAAAGGGAATCTTCGATGATTGAGCTGTTGGCCGAAGGCTCTCCCTGATGCCGAGGGCACCTTCATGGCCGAAGGCTACCTTCATGGCCGAAGGCTACCTTCATGACTGAAGGCTACCCTCATGGCCGAAGGCCACCCTCATGGCCGAAGGCCACCCTCATGGCCGAAGGCCTTGTGTAGCCGAAGGCTACCCTCATGTCGAGGGCTCTTCTATGGCCGAAGGGTCCTGATTTCTGCAGTTTTCTCGTTGTAGCTTTGTATGCTCAAATCTGGCTGTCATGTGAGATTTGGAGCCCTCGGCCAAGGAGGCCGAAGGCACCCATGTGTGCACCGTGGGTTTCTTTAAGTTTGGGCCGCTGTGTTCGGACCTTGTGTGCTCATTGGGCTCATTTGGGGCTGTGTAGGAGAAGTGGGAGTCTGTGGGCCGGGGGTCCCTGAGCCATATACTCCATCAGAGTTGTATTGCTTTTTTGGAGGTGATAGACTCTAAGTCTGGTTTGAGGACTGTCGATTGTTTGTGGTCCTTTTGTCGTTTTACCCTCTATTTGAATGTTGTGATATGAATTTAAGCCATGTGTTTTGACAATATAAAAAATCTTGAAAAGCTTTGAATTTAATTACCATAATAACCCATTAACACTCTTTATATATTTCAAATAGTATTCTTATTTAAGATACTCCATAAAAACACTTTTATGCCCAACTTGTTATAGTTAAACTAAGTATATATATATATATATATATATATAT